GGGGCCATATACACGGGTCAACCACCACACGCACTACCATCGAGACAGGCGAGAATTGAGCCAGAGACCTTTGTGAGCATCCACCTAGTAGCTCCAACGATTGCCCAGTTGAATCGCCAAGCCACCAAAATTCCACCACTAGCTCCATCGGAAGGAAGGTAAATGAAATTATTATCAAATTCACTTCCTAACATGGACGAGGACTAGGCCTTTGGAAAGCCGTACTCATTTGAGTTTCTTGTAGGCAAACAACATCAATCTTGGAGGCATCCACCATGACTCTAACAATGACATCTGTCTGTTCTTTGAGTTCAAACCTCATACATTCCAATTTAGGATGTGTCTTGGGATCCATAATGATCTTGAGGAACAAAAGCGACACGGAGGAGCAATCGGACAATACACTCTACCAAGTCAGCAGCAGAAACTGCCTCGGGAGTGCCCATCCGAAAAGAACAGCCAGGGCCTTAGTGTGAGAAGTTGGCATAGGCTGCTTAAAGCGTTGCGCATAATAATCCAGGGCTTGCTGGCTAATGCGTTCCCCTTCTTCATCGACATTCATATCCAATGCACGCATGACTTGTTTCTTCGGATGTGAGGGCATACCTCCAAGCGTTGTCGCGGGGAAGCCGTAAATGGAAGACGACTCCGTCGGGGCTCCTTGCTAGGTGGCTCCAGCTTCTTCTTCCTTCATTTATTGACATGGGGAATTGGCATGATACCCCCCGGAATTTTTGTCGAGCCTTTGCGAACTCGTTCTTGAAATTTGGGGGCGCGCCTTTGGGGGAAGCTTGGGGCTGACAGATTGAGTCTCGCCCGCCCTCTCTCTTCTACGAGGATGGCGGTGAGTAGAAGCTCGAAGAGTCTGCTACTAAGCGGCGGCCGTGGCTACAGGCCGCAGATGAGGAGTTCAAGGGGTAGGGCGGCGGTGGCGAGAGTGGCAAGTTCGAGGAGGAAATGGCAGCGATGGCGGGGTGTGGCGATTTGGGGAGGAGGAGCTGCAGTGGAAGTGTCGCCAAAGCTTGGCCATGATGATGAGGAGGAGCAATCGAGAGGACGGCTGCCATGAGGGGAGAGGCGAAGTCTCGGCCGGGAAACACTGAGACATGAGGCTCGATCAACATATCTGGGCAGCGAGAGGTGGGGCGTTAGACTCAACCACCACATCGGCCTCGTTGATCCATCCGAGGAGAGAGAGGGGGCGGCCCGGATGCCTCAAGCGAGGTCCCGGAGAGATCATCGGCCGAGGCCCATTAGATTCTCCTCGTTCGGCGGGGGCGCGCCGAAGGCCCATAGGAGAGTTGCGAGAGGATCTCAAACCGTGGCACATCATCAATCCGCGACATCGTATCTCTTTTGCCTTCCACCGCCGTATCGGTGACAACGCTCTCCTTAAACACATACACTTTTGCGTCGCGAGAGCCCTCGAAACATGACCCCGCGATAACGGCATCGTCCGCAGTCACGGTCTCCTTGGTTCTAGTGCGGTCTGCATCGGAACCACGCGAAGCAACATCACGTCGCGAGGCCTCAGCAGACATGGCCGACCAATCATCAATGTCGAGCACGACAGTTGAGGAGGGATCCCCGGCCGCCTCATGGACTCGAGAGCCCAACCTTGCGTGGACCGAGAGCCCTGCCGACTGGCCGGAGGGCGTAACCGCCCGCGCGCCTTGTCTAAGCCGGAGAAGGCAGCGAGAAGAATGAGTCCCACGACGACCGGCGATGATCACGATCTTCATCTTCGAGGGGGGAGGGGATCATGGTATGCACCGAGGCTCGGCGAGGGACGAACCGTGACCTTGATGGGGTAGGTTAACGTCCTCACGTCGGAACCACGCAGCGCCGAGGGCTCCACGATCTCAGCGTCATCTCGGGGGGAAAGAGCGGGATCGGAGCACCAAGCCTTCACCATGAACACATCGCGTCGATCGGTATTGCCGGGTGCGATCCATCAATCCAGTGAGCTCGTCCAAAAGAACCGCGGTCGCCAAATTCCAAGCATGGGCGGGGATGCCCACGAGCTCAACTTCTGACCACCGGAAGGCTCGCAGCAAGGCCTAGATAAACCTCGTCCATCGCATGACATGCGGCCGAAAGCGAGAGGTGGTGGCGATGGGGCGACCTCCATTGTAGACAATGCCATCAAGTTCCTCATTAGGCAAGATCAAGAGAAGCTGGGCGGACCCGGGGATGTAGGGTTAGTCGAGTTTCGTCGATCTCAAACCTAAGGGCAATCGTAGCGCGTATGAGCTCTAACCCGCCGTCCCCAGGACCTCCTAGCGGTGATGACGGCGCGCAGCGCAAGGCATCCTCGGCTGGGGGAGAGCCGATCCGACCGGTCGAGAATGCGTCTCGGGGCGGCCCGGGCAACAGCAGCACCGATCTGCGCACCCCGACGATAAGGCACCGGGAGGGTGGGCGAACGCGTCTTCTTCCTCGCCGGTGTCATCACCCGAAAGCCGCACCCGCCATGGGCAGCGCCCTCCACAATCAGCGCCCGCCGCTTACGCTTGTGCTCCTTGCCCGCCCGCCGAGGCGAAGGTTGCGCGCCCGTTCCACCCGTGGCAACCGGAGGCTACACATGGCGTGATCGCGGTGACAGCCGAGACTTTAGGACGCCTTGAACCGGTGCCCTACGGCCGGAAGAGAGGCGGGGGCGCCGGGGATGGCGGCGTCGAGCGATGCCCCCAGACCCGGCAAGCAAAGCACCTCGGGCGAGGAAACGGCGGGGGGGCGCGGCCTTGTGGCGGTGGATAAGCGATTGAAGCAGCGCCACGAAGATCCGCCGGGGCTGGCCGTCGAGGGAGGCGCATAGCAGCGCTCGCGATGGCGGCGTCGACTTTCTTGGTTACCCAACCATCCGGTCGAAGCGGCCGTCCGGCGGGGGCAAACGCGATGGTCGCGGCACCGAGGATAATAATCGGCGGCGAGGAGGAGCCGTGGCAGCATGGACGAACAACCGGCGTGGCGGCCTCGGTCGAGGCTGCATAAAGCGAGCCGCCACCGCGCCAAAAGGACATCCTTGAAGAGAGGACCTCCTCGGAGGAGGATCCGGAAGGCAGAGGCGTCTCTCACGGCCAGCCCTTGGAGGCGCCCGGCCAAGTGCCGGGGGGTAGAGGAAGGTTCCCTCGAGCGCTAGAGAGAGAGAGGATTGGGTGGTCGCGCCCATGAGTGGAGGCGGCGGCTAGTGGAGCTAGGGCAGGGGTGGCGTCGGGAGGTTGAGGGGGGGGGGCGGGGGCGACGGAAGCCATCCTTGTTTCAAAATTAGGCCCAACAAGTCTTTCACATTAGTTCAAAGGTGAAAACAATGGTTTCAATTTCCTCCTGTTCATAAACAAACAACAGAGCAAGGTCATATGCATTTAAGACTAGAATGGATCGATTAAGCTCATATCATTCACTCATCTGCATAGCAGCACAACCTAATATCAAAGTAATTTGGTTATGCTAGATCATAAATCATAAACTCAAATGCACGATGAGTCACGTGTTTGCACACTCACGCGATCCTCCATGCGCCATGCCTTGGAGAAGAAGGGTCTGGGTTGGGTTCCCAATCACCAGCGACTCTAGAAGGGGTCGGGGAGGCGCCACGATCTGACAGGGGCTCTTGACCTCACGGTGTGGCGAGGTGGCTGGCTGGAAGCCCAGGCGATGGGAGGCGATGGGCGGGCTGGCGGTGGGGGCGGCCTTGAGGCGAGTGGTTCTTTGGTTAACTTTGTGATTAGGGAGGTAGGGTCGAGGAGGCGAGGCGGGAGGGGCCGCCAACCGCCGATGGTGGAGCAGGAGGAGGCGCCTGAGGGAGGCGGGGAAGATGATAGGGGAGAGGGTCGCGCGCGCTACAGAGTTCTGGTGGTGGCGTGTTAACCTCCACATCCCAAATCGGCTCCAAGCAGTGAAGTTCACAGTTTTTTTTAAAAAAAACTCGACCTGCTTGGGAAAAAAGCGCTCCCTGTGGCATTGGATTAAGAAACTTCTCGTGTGCAGGCCAAGAAACAACCCGAAGGCCAGCTGCCTGGGCGTGCCACCGAGTGCCAGGACACATGCTTGAGGCCATGTGGTTACACGTATAAGCTTAGGAGCAGGCGATGAGGGGTGCTCCCACGAGGAGTCAAACTCAGGACCTAAGGTGCAACTAAGGTTCCAGTGACCATTAGGCTACACCGCTACATACTAGTTCACAGATAAGCCCTGCCCCGGCACCCCAATGATGGCACAGGCCCAATGGTGCTGAAACATCCCCATCACAGGCAATGTGTGTTTTGCTCTTTCATTTAGCATTATGAATATAAAAAATTAACCGCACAACTAAAGCAAATCACTAATTTGTTCAATCAAAAGTTGATAACTAAGATCTATTACCCTAAGGTGTGTCACAGTCTATGGTGCTAGGATGTTCTTTGGCATGTCTCCTTGCATTGTAAGAGAAGAAATCTAGGAGAAACAAACCTGCCCAGCAGTCTTGTTCAAAGCCCAGTTGAATGCTGGCTGATCATTTGACTTCCTCTGCCCGACCAAGGCTGCTCCTTAAGCTCCACGATCCACTTCCTTAACAGGAGCTTGGCACCTTCAGTTGGCCTGAGGAAAATCATGCAGCTGCAAATATAAGTCCGCCCTTTCTTCCCCGGTGGTGGCAGCTCATGTGAATGATCAAGTGGTTTCACCTGCAATGCAATCCACACTTCCCCAGTAAGCTATCTTCCAACCAAACCCCCAATTGAAAACGCAGCAACGACACATACATACAGGAGTCATATCGTCCATGAAGTACACGTCGTGATTCTCGACGACGTAAAGGAACAGGTCGGCAAGCCACACCATGTCAACATCGTTGTACATGACGCTGTACCAAGCTCAAGAATCTGCAGCAGGTGCCGTGGCCGGCGCGAGGTGAAGTTGAAGAAACCCTGTAGTCACAGACGGAAAAAGATAGCTGCAGTTACGCATGGAGACACAGACATTTCATCGAACAGTTTGAGCGGTGGATTCCTCCTCACCTGGGATCCAAATTTGTGGGCGGTCTGGGCATCGGGCGCGGGGGGCACAAGGACGGCGTGTCCTGGCCAGGCGGCATTGATGCGGTCGAGGGTTTCGTAGTCCTCGGCGATAACGAGCACCTGATCCGCGCGGCCGGCGCGACGGACGCTGATGAGCCAATTGGAGAGGAAGGGGAGGTACGGTCCGGAGACAGCGGCGAGGAGCACGGTGCCGTTTCCCGCTGCGGCGGCGAAGGCGGCGGCCTCCTGGAGGGTGTAGGAGCGCCACGGGGGCGAGGGAGGGCGCGCTGCTGGACCCCAGGGGAGGAGGAGGGCAGCGAAGAGGAGAACCGCAAGGAGGGAGAAGAGGTAGGGGAGTGTGAGGAGGTGGTGCGGGCGGGAGGGGGCGGTGGCGGCGGTGGGGGAGGAGACGGGGAGAGAGTCGCCCGCTGCCGGCAGCTTCTGGTGCGGCCGCTGGTGGAGCGACATTGCCGAACGCCGGAGACCGGTGTAGCCTTTCGGGAGGTGGGGGGGGGGGGGTGGGTCAGGAGTGTGGAGTAGTGCTACTGTAGAGTAGTCACGCGGCGTTGGTCGGTGATCTGGATCGTGGCCGGGAAAGAGCGACGGCCGACGGCGCGTGGCTGATTGGGCTCGAGCGGTAACGCCGTGACGGTGGGGGTAACACGATAGATAGGTATTGTTAGCACTGCCTTGGCTTGTTTTAGTTGTGCAAATCAATACCTTCATAAAAAAATGCTCAAAAAAATACCTTCGTAAAAAAAATACAGTTTTCGGTTTTCGAGAAGTTAAATAATTTAAACTTTAATTAAATGTTTATGATACAAAATAGGTACCATTAGATTAATGATGGAAAATATTTTTAGTGTAAATTTTATTAAAGACACCAATGTTAATACTATTTCTTTTAAATTTGATCAAACTTAAATTAGTTTGTGTGGCATATAGTTACATTCTTTTGTGGATGGAGATGAGCAGAGACGGTAGCATCTTACTTTTCGCTTTTATATCATGGCATCCAATATGACTCGATAGACACCGGTTGCCAACGAGAGTTATCTTTTCGAACAGTGGAACCAAAATTTAGATATAGGGGGCTATTCAAACCGATAACTATCATGCATGATGTAATATATACACGACAAGAACAGATCCATACGTAACAATCAAATGGCCGTTTATGTTACAATGCAAACAAAAACTTAAAAAAAAAGAACACCGAATATTATACTAAAAAGGGAGCAAAATTAATTAGCTCTAGGTTTCTAACTTTCATTTGATCAATCTAATTCTTAGGCTAGAAAAAGAATCATGGTAATAACAGGAACAAAGGAGATAAGGAAGATAACAGGAAAATTGATCCTAAATAATATAAATGTCAATGGAGATCATTTACGAGAGCAAACCAGTAAAGTACTAATACAATTAACTAGCTAATTAATGAACCTTGGGGATGAACTAGATATTTTTAGGCATAAAACAAAGAACAGAAGAGATAGAGAAAATATAGGAAGGTCTAATTATGTGGGATACTATTATATACTAGTATAGAGCGAGGACAAGGAATCAAAATACAAGTAGGATTATTAACTAGTTAATTGGACTATTAAGTAGTTAATTGAGGAGATGCAATGTGAAGAGCATAGAAAGTTGGAGGTGTCGCGCTTGAATCCCTTCCCTCCGCCTTTGTTTGTAGCAGAGCGTGTGTTATCAGGCATTTTAAGTTTGGTTGGCATTGATAGATGTGTAGGAATATGTATGACACTTGTTTTTTCATATAAATATGATAAATTATTAATTTGATTAGTGCTAGATTTCCCATCCTTTTCCCTATTTATATGGTTTCTACAAGAGTAATATTACTTTTTGCATCCAAACACAAGTAATACTAACCAAAATCACCATGTATCAAGCACCACAATAAACACAAAGTGACAAATAGAAGCCTTAGTGCTTGTTTGGTAGCGATTCATGGAGAACTTTAGAAGTTGTTTTGTGTGCAGGTATACAAATGACTAAAAAGGAATCTGCTTCTCGCGAGGATCTTCGCAAAACACGTTGAGACAATGTGCAGCCCTAGCTTCCACCGCTCCCCGCGACATGCCTATGATGAGTGTATGTATACTTTTGCTCATAGATATAACCAAACTTACAAGGACAACCACCCTCTCCCCTCGCCTCCAACCTTATCTTTGCAGATGAAAAGATCTTGTTTGGTTTGGGTAATTGGTGACAACCTAGGTGGACTAATATATGATTATATTGAGATACACAGGTGATTAGTCCACAAGTACACTAGTGTGAGCAACTTGAGTCATGTTGGTGAAGTGGCTTGGATTTGTTGCAAAGCTCAACTAGGTGTGATGAAGGAGCTCATTGCATATGAGACATAACATGATGTCATGTGACTAGGTGGAGAAGATCAAGAGATATGGCTTGGCTATGATGGATCGGGTTGCAAATGTGAAGGTAAGTCGAGGCTTTGGGCTGACGGACCCATGCGTGGCGGAGAAAGCTTGAGCAAGGACTTGGTGTCGATGGACCGAGGCAGCGGTGAAGAGCAAGTGAAGTTGCAATCGATGAACCAATAAGGCCATATGATGACATGGCGTGGATCATATCATTCAAAAGCAGATCAAGCCAAGTGTTGATGATCAAGTGTGACTTGATGAAGAATGATAGAGGAACTTCATGCTATGAGCAATGATCAAAGGTAGCGTGGTTAGCTACACGCCAAAATCATGTATGACATCGTCCAAGGTATATTGTTCTTCTTGCAACGTAGTGTTGTCATCTCCTACAAAAAAAATGTACACGGTGTGCTAATTGTTGGTAAATTGATTATGAAACCTTTTCACGTGGACAATTATTGTTGCAAACATTACTTGGACATGAGGGAAATAATCACCAACATGCAGGTTTTCTTGGTCTTCTTTGTGTGGGTCATTTAAATCAAATGGATGGCGGTGTTGTCACCTAATCATGAAGGAAAGGCGATAATTATGAAACTACATTGTCACCCACACATGTGAGTTATCCCCTCTCACTGCAATTTAATTTTGAAATGAAGCAAATATGTTGCAGGCCTTACACAAAGAATTCACTAATCTTGTTTGCAATTTTATGAGAGAGGGACTAAATCAGTTGATACTATTTTTAGGACACTGGTTGATACTAATTTTACAACAGAGAGAGGGGCGCAAAAGAGTTTCAAACACTAAAAATCCAGATGTTGCTCATGATTTTAGTACAGAGAAACTAAACTAGCACTTACTAATTTAGGGGAGAGATAGATAGACTAGAGAGAACATCTGCTAGACATAAGATTATCAAACTTTTTCACATGGACGATTATTGTTGCAAAGATGACTTGAACCTCAGGGAAATAATCACCTGCATGCAGGTTTTCTTAGTTTTCTTCCTACGGATCATTTAAATCAAATGGATGGCCAATATTGTCACCTCGTACATAAAAGTGATGATTATGAGAATGCATTGTCACCCACACATGTGAGTTAATCCTCTCACTACAATTTAATTATGAACTTGAAGCAAATATGAGCTGCATGCCTTATGCCAAAAAAAACACTAATGTTGCTTGCAATTTTATTTGAGATAGATTAAACCAGTTGATATTGATTTTAGCATAGAGAGAGAGGATAAGGATCCATCTTTGTAAAAGAGTTTTAGGTAAGAGATAAACACTAGAAATTCTCGAGATGTTGCTAGTGATTTTAGTAGAGAGAGAACTAAACCAACACATACTAATTTGTGATTTGAGAGAGAGGCTAGATAGAACACACTGTTGTTGCTTGTGTTTTATAGGAGAGAGAAATAAATAAGCACAACTAGCTTTAGAGAGAGAGAGGATAGAGAGAATTAGAACCGGCACCACTCCCACTCAATTTTTTGACAGAAATAGATGTGCTTACCTTGATGAATTTCTTCTTGTTCATCATTCTCATCGGGATAGACACCAAAGTGGTGGCTCCCCAACTTCAAATGCAGTCACTTGAAAGGTCTTAAATGGCTAGAGGGGGTGAATAGCCTATTAAATTTTTCTACAAATTCACTAGAGCACAAGGTTAGTAACCTAAATGGCGAAATGCAATTTTGCTCTAGCTCTACAAGGGTTGCAAGCCACCTATACCAATAATTATAGTTGCTATGATCTCTAGGTTCACACAAAGGCTATGTCACTACTCTCTAAGCTAGTGAGCTCTCAAGGACTAACTAAAAAGCCTCACTAACTAAACTAACAAGCTCTCAAAGACTATCTACACTAAAGAGCTTGACTAGGCAAGAAAGTAATCAATGTAAATACAAGAGAGAGTAGAGTGATTATACCGCCATGGCAAGAGTGATGAACCAATCAATGAATACCAACTCAATCACCGGGAGAAATCCAATGCACAAGAGACAATTAATTTTTCTCCCAAGGTTCACGTGCTTGCCGGAACGCTAGTCCCCGTTGTGTCGACCAACACTTGGTGGTTCGATGGCTAATAGGTATCACACACCTAGCCAACACTTGGCATGGCAAGAACCTACCCATAAGTGAGGTAACTCAATGACATGAGCAATCCACTAGAGTTACCTTTCGATGCTCCCACCGGGGAAGGCACAAGACCCTCATAATCACCGGAGATGGCCACGAATAATCACCAACTCATGCCAATGCTCCTCCCTTTGCTCCAAGCCATCTAGGTGGCGGCAACCACCAAGAGTAACAAGAACTCCATAGCCACAACGATCCCCAAGTGCCACTAGATGCAATCACTCAAGCAAATGCACTAGGAATCACTTCCAATCTCACTATGATGATGAATCAATGATGCAGATGAGAGGGAGGTATTTGCTTAGACTCACAAGGATGTCAAGAATGTCAAAGTGCCAAGCGAGTGAGCCCTAAGCCGGCCACCACCTATTTATAGAGCCCCTTGGCTCAAAGAGCCATTGAAATTTGTCGAAGAAAACACCGGGACGCGACCCTGCGTCCCGGTCGCTAAGTCTGGTCACGCCCCCCGAGCCACTCAGCGTTCGCCACGTCATTCCTATTCAAATAGAGCCATTGGCACCCTTGAGCACGCAAGTTAGCCAGCCACCTGATGCGCCTCTGCAGATGACCGGAACCTGAGACCACGCTAGGGTGCGGTCAAATATAGAGAGCATCGAGCGCAGCAACGACGGCCGAACGCGTCCGGTCAACAATGACTGACAGCGCTTGGCGTCCCGATTCTCTCAACCGTGCCTCACGCCCGAGCAATGTTAGCGTATTGGCGCACCCCTACATGTTCGGTCGTGCCTTGTTCCCAACATCCGATCGCCACCACGCTACTTGCATCCTCTCTAGACCAAGTGGACCGGGCGCTTGACCTGCGTCCGATCCCAAATATCCGGTCATGCCACCGAGGCGAGCACCGAGACCGCTCACTTTACTGTCTTTGGCGCCCGGACTTCTTTGGTAGCATCCGGTAAGGACAAAGCCAACGTCCAGTCCTCTACCTTCACCTCCTTTTCATTTTCTATCTCCTCAAACACTTCACCCTTGCTTCTAAGTTGCTAACCACATAGTGTAGAATTTGTGTGTACGTGCGTTATCATTTTCTCAAGCATTTTATAAGGGTCAATAGTTAACATACTAGGTCCCTAATGCATATGCAAGAATCATGTCACCTAGTGGCACTTGATAACCGCTTAGCCAAAGATTTCCCCTCTTTATAGTATGGCTATCGATCCTAAATATACTCACACCCTCTATGGTGTCTTGAGTGCCAAAACAAAAACCTATTTGATACCTTTGCCTTGATCAACCTTGTTTTTGTTTTTTTTCTCTTTCTCCTTTTCCAAGTTGGAGCTTGATCACCATCATCTCATGTCCATCTTTATCTCCATGGACCTCTCACTTGCTATATCACTTGGGTGCACCAACCTTGCTCAAATCAATCACCCATGACAAAGGTTAGTACTTAGATTTCATCAATTATCCAGAACCAAACTAGGGCTTTCACCATTACATCTTCCAAGGGACCATGATCCTCTTCGTGTTCATGTTCAGCATGATTCTTGTTGAGATCTGGCATTTCCTCTCCTCTTTCATCTGGTAGTGTGTTTAATTCAATTGCCATGGGTTACTGTTGATGGTAGTTAACGACCACAAAACCATCAATATAACTTGTACAAGGGCATAAAATAATCACCAACATAGGTTTAGAAGTTTAAACTAACAAATTCCACAAATTTTGGTGAATCTGTGTTTTCAGCAGGGTTTATCCAGAAAACCGTCAAGGTGGACCCAAGCATCAGAATTAATCGTAATTATCCACGACAAAAACAACTCCAGAAGGTTCTAGAGGACACTAGAAGGCAAACCACCAAAGAAGACCGCGAGAGGCAACCCCCACCTATAGGTCGGCCGGCCCCTTGGCCCCCCCTGTCACCCTCTCCTTCCTACGTTGATTCTCCACCGTCTTAGGGTTTGCATCCACTCCATTCTTTAAAGTCAATTTGATCCGCAGGTTTATGATTGATGCTCCTCCTTATATATACCAGCCCCTGCCACCCCAAGGGTATCCTCCATCATTCAAGAAGTCATTCAATCAAGAGATCAAACCATAATCATCCTTAGAGCTCCACTATATTTTAGGGCATAACTAGCTAGGTTAGATCTAGAGGGAGGCAAGCTTCGCTTTGATTCCTGATCTTGTCAAGAGCGTGGCTTGGTATAGCCCCTTGTATCCTCTTTTGTATTTTTCATTATTCATATGTTTGCTACAATTGATTCAACATTGTTCTTAATATTATTCATGTTTCTAGTTATCATGTTCATCGTCTACTTTGATTATATGCTTAGTATAGCTAGATTATCTTTATGTTCAAGCATAAGTTCGTATAGCGCTCGCTTTAAAGTACACGGGGTGAGTGGTCGACATTGTGTAAGTGTGGTGCTTATACGTTGTTTACCTACGGATGCACCCTATATTCTGGGCCATGTGGTAGATCGCAAGTGTGACACTCTCGTTGAGTCCTTAGTAGTTCACTCCCTGAATATAGATAAAGTAGGATCTAGTTGCGAAGGAAGTCATGCTCTGTTCTTGATCTTTCTTAGTAATATCTCTTATGTGTAGATACGGAGTTGATTTTAGCCATGATTATTAAGTGTAATTGCACTAATCATAGTATGCTTTGACTTGTAATTAAGATTGACTTAGACATTATTTCTCTATTATCTACTTAACTATGCTAGTGCCATCTAAAAGAGTACTCTGAGTGTTCATTATCATTTATCATTTAACATTCATATTTCATTTATCTCTTGACTTACCCCTGTTATGAGTAGAAGCTTGGTTATGGTTTATCTCTCCATCATATGTATAAGTTATCAATATATTCCATCCGCCGGTCCTTCTCTGTGGTAAAAATACAAATAACGATACCTAGAATACTCTCAGATGAAATGCTACAATGGTAAATTATCCGTGCGCTTACGGATCCTTCATATACATATTTGCATTCTTTCTAGTCACAATAAAATACTTAAGTACTTCTTAGTGTCATTCTAGAAATGACGCTAGAAAGTACCAACGAGCATTATGGCATCCCATTTAGGGATGACAACTTAGCAAAAGTGATGTTAAGAAATATCAATAAACATTAGGTGGCTACTTAAACAAGTGACAAGTTAATAAATACCAACAGTTACCACGCTTTATTGCCCTTTGGTGTTAGAGAAATGTTGCTAGTTTGATTTTAGTTTGTTTAAATTTGTAAAAATGGAGCCCGGCTTTGTTTTGGCTAGTGTTATCCTAAGCGCTAAGCGGTAAGCAATCGGTCACTGCCGTTTAGCCCATTATTCGAGCAAAATAGGTGTTTAAGCGGGCAACTTGACCATTTAAGCGGTCAAAACAACCGATTAAGCGGAAATAATGTACCACTGTGTAGCGTTTAAACGGTGTATAAATAGGCTAAACGACCATGTAGATGAACAGTATTTTGGCACTAAGTAGTGTTTGTTGTCGAGTGAAATGCTGTCCTCTTGATTTGTTTAAGGCCAAAACACTGTACTGCATGTGTAACTGTGAAAAAGTGAATGTGAATACTGATTTATTTAATGTAAAAAATCTGTGGTATTTATTGATTCCTGAGTCTAGTTCTCCAACGACAGATATTCAGAGCAACTCCAAGAGTTCGTCTAAAATTAATAGCTAAATTTTTTGTTTTTGTCATTGTGTAAAATAGAAAGTCTAAAAAAAAGAGGACTCTACAACAATCTAGCTATTTTGCCTCTTGTATATTTGAAAACATGTTATTTCTGGACAGCGAGAACAGAAATTCATGCAGAAAGGGGAGCGCCCAACAGAAATTGATGCAGGGAAGAGGAATAGCGAGCGGCCACGGCGTGCTATTTCTAGATAGCAAGAAGTATTGGGATACATGGCTTCTTATTTTGGATCCTGGGATACAACACCTGTTGGAGGCCTGTTTTTCCTAAAACAATCTAAATTTAGACTCCAAGACAAATATACGCCATCTTTTGGAGTTGCTCTTAGAGACGGAGGGAGTAGAGCTATATCAAACAAACCATTAAGCTCACTAAATTGATTTTAACATCAGAGCTCGGCTACCTAGCTATAAATAAGATTAAGCCTATCCTACCATGACACAGATAATATCAATTAAATATAATATTTTTTTCATTTTTTGATACACTTTTATACGAGAAAAATATATTGCTTAGACTTCTCAGCTCTCGCGTAATCCCTCCATTCAAAATAAGTGTTGGTATGATATTTATGTCTTTAAAACTTTTTAAATTTAACTAGATTTGTAAAAAATATTAGCAATATTTGTATCTCCAAATAAACTTATATTATAAAAATATATTCAACTTTCTAATGATATTAATTATGTACTATAGATATTTATATTTTTATATATTTAGTTAAAGTTAAAAACATTTTTTAGGGAAAAAGTTAAAATCATTTTACTATAAGAGAGGTGAGAATGACACTTATTTAGAACGGAATCTTTTAGAGCTGCGGCTGCGCCCAAATTGCGTCGCTGAATTCATCTGCCGCACTTGCGGCATATTTTGGTATCCAAAATGAACTAGAAATCTAGAATACGATGGCGAGGCCGTGACCTGCCGCAACTAGCGCAGCTAAACAAACGCACGCCCAAAATGCGGAGCGGAAGGTGCGGTGCGGAGCTGTGCTTCCTGCTTTGCAATTTGCTTACCATCTCGCGGCCGCCTCACTTCCCACCTCGGAATTCGAACTTTGGTTGCAGCACATTAGCCTACCAAGGGCAGCGCTGTAAAATCGCCACTCGTTCCCGAAAATGGTTAAAGGCAAGAGACTTTTCCCTGTGTGTCATTATAAAAGATCGTAATTCCTTATGTGCCCCTAGAAAAATTCAGCGGTCTTCAGCGCCACTACTCCAACTTTTTCGGGTCCTCCATGCCACTTACATCGATTCGAGGCTCTACTTGCAAATCAAGCAGCCAGTGTGAAAAGACGAAAATGCCCTTAAGTTCAAATATGTTATTAATTTTTTTTGAGCATCTTAACGACTTCAAATGAAAAAACTCAAAACTAGAAAATTGTAGATCTCGTCGAGATCTATAATTTTCATATAAAATTTATTTTCATTTAATTTCGCAAAAAAAATATGATAATTTTTCTAAGATATATTAATCATATCAAATCATATTTTTTTTGCGGAATTAAATGAAAATAATTTTATATGAAAATTATAGATCTCGATTTGAGATCTACAACTTTCTAGTTTTGAGTTTTTCATTTGAAGTCGTTAAGATGCTCAAAAAAATTAATAACATATTTGAACTTAGGGCATTTTTTTTTCACACTGCTTGATTAACAAGTTAGTAATCGACGGAAGTGGCATGGAGGACCCGAAAAAAGTTATAGTAGTAAACAAGATTATTGAATTTTTTTGAAGTACATGAAAGATTTTCGATCTTTTATAATGAAACGAGGAAAAGTCTCTAAAGGCAAAGCCTCCCCTCCCACCTGCCTCCCTCGCGTTTTTTTACCCGTTTTGGCCGTCTCGTCCCGTTTCCCTCCGCCGTTCACCTCTCTCCTAAACCCAGGCCATCGTCACGGGAAGAGGAGGGTTCGAGCGATCCGGCCGCCACATGGTAATCCCGGGCGCTGGCGCCGAGCCGTGCCCCGCCCGCGTAGTGCGCGGTACGCCGAGAAGGGTACCCCGACTACGCAGAGGACGACCAGTGCCTCGCGCCTCGCTGGAGAAAAGACGGTACTGGCGGCCGGGCGAAGGCGAACAAGCCGGAGGCCCGACGCGGCAGGAAGAGGGGGCTCGGGGATGCTGCCGCCGAGGAGGTGGTGGTGGCGGTGGGCAAGACTCCGCCGCCGATCCTGCAGCGCGAGGATTCGGTGGCGCAGGATCAAGGGAGGAAGCGGCGCATGACGGGCGCCGCGGCGAGCGTGGCGGCAGCAGGAAAGGCATTTCCTCTGATCGCGGATGAAGACGACGAGAAGGTGGAGGTGTCAGCCACGGAAGGAGGGGGCGACGAGCGTGGCGCCGCTGGAGTCTGCAGCAAGAACCCGAGGCTGCGGGTGATGAAGACGCTGCGGGCGTTCAGCACCAATTACCTTCATTTTGTTCAGGTTTCCCTCCTTACTCTGATTTTCCCATTGAAAGGCAAAGAGAAATCGGAGGAGTCTGCCAGGCTGGTTTTGGAATTGGGATTTGTTATTAGTTCTCTATCTATTGTCTGTTGTATTCGGTCTATTTTTAGACTGACAGTTTGTGCCACACATGCAGGAGGAGCAGCGCAGAGCAGAGTCTAATGCAAGAGCTCAAGGCGTGCGGGACCCTTAAACGAAAGGTGTGTGTTGTTTGTTGTGTTTTTTGTTAATTAATCATTTAGGTTCTGATACTAAGCTCTCTTACCTAGATTTGACTCAGCAGACTAAGATCTGACCCATCGGTTCAGCACGAAATATATACAGGTTGAGTAGGAACGATATATGTGTGCTTCGTTCAGTTTTTGTGGTATACAATTAAAAAGCAGGGTTGTGTAGTTTCATTCAGATTCTTTCATGTGTTTCAACTACAGTTACATGTCAAAGGCCTCTTTGGAACGCGAGAATATTTCCTGTTTAGCGTGTTTTTCATGTGAAATATCCTGCTCGATTCCTATGAAATTCCTGCTCGATTCTTGTGAAATCTTGCATTCCAAAGGCCGCCAAATTTTAATGACACACTATTATAGCAGCCGCCTTTGGAATGCGGGATTTTCGATGTTTCTATGTTTTTCTGTGAAAATGAACTGATTTTAGTGAAATTTCCTGCGTTCCAAAGTGGCCATAAATCTTAATGACTGTACTATTATAGCAGTCACCATGTTTGATATTGAGCTACTATGCACCGGCCGGTTGGTCCTAACTAGTTAAACTTATGGGAAAAGATGCCAATGTACTTAACTACTTATAACTCAATAAATAAATACTCCCCTCATGTGCATCCTCACCTCACCTAACCCCAATTTAGAAAATAGGAGTAGGTTGAAATTAATTATTTAAGTTGTGCGAGCTAGGATTTGAACCTGAAACCTTTGGCTCTGGTACTACATTGAACTACAATGCACTAGTTAGTTGACCTTAAAAAAACTTGTTTGGTAGAGAAAAGTGGACATTAACTTATACTTCAACACCTAAGAACATGGTGGCTTAAACTTACAATTACTTGTTTTCTTACATGTGCTGCATCTACTTATCTTATTATGGAATGTGCTATGTACAAAAAACGTAATGAATCATATGTTGCTTGTGCTGCCTTGTCTTACTCTAGATTCTAACAAAAATAGATTGATCATAGTATGATTCCGATTTTGCATATGGTCGCACCCCCTCTAATTTGCTCGAGCTTAGCATATATAATCTTCATTTTGAAATGGTATGGTCGAACTATTTATTTGCTTATAAGGGGCAGATTAGCCTATAAGGTCTTGTTTGGCTGCACATGTATTCACCTCAATCCACATGTGTTGGGGTGGGTTCGGGTGGAAATTAAACTAACTTACGTCCCAATCCACCCCAACACATGTGGATTGAGCTAAATCTGAGTGCATCCAAACAAGCGCTAAGTGTTTTTTATGTTGTGATCTTTTGCCTTGAACATATCTTCATTAAAAAATATTTGTGTACCTACATGTAATTCAATGAATTAAGTATTGTAATTTGTTCTACATTGGTCTTTCTTTCTGAAGGGTTTCTTAGATGCATATGTTTATTTCTGTATGCCTGAAACATTTTTTAAAAATTCAAGGCTAATTATCCCTGCTTTATTAGAGTATCAAGCTGGGGACACTAGCTTTACAAAAGGCACAAAGCTGATGGCCACAACCTGAAACTAACCACACATAGATTGGACCAAACTATAGAAGGACCTCCACCCACTTCAAGCAAATACTCATAGTTACTTGTTTATTTTCCAGGATGCCTGAAACTTAACTTGAGTGTATTTTTTCCCCGAGATATACTGTGTGCAATGGATCAAATAACATAATGTTGTTTGTTCTATCAGCCTTTTCTCTGACTAGTTTCATGGACGCATCTGTTTATTTTCTGTATGCCTGTAGTCGTTTCTGTTAAATAGACTAACAACATATAAAAACACAGATTGACATGGTGATCAAGCATATGCCCAATGACAAGGCGCCGGGACCGGATGGTTTCAACGGGCTTTTCCTGAAAAAATGTTGGCGACTAGTTAAGAGCGATTTCTATTCGCTATGTGCGAACTTCTATCTTGCAAGGATCAATTTAGAGTCTATCAACACCTCTTACATCACATTGGTACCCAAGAAAGACTGCCCGAAGCGGTTAATGACTTTCGCCCATATCACTCATGAACATTTTCGCTCAAAATAATAACCAAGATCTTGGCGGCAGATGATTGCAAGCGATTATTTTTCTGAATTGTTCATAGCAATCAAGACTGGTTTTATCCGTTCCCGCACGATCTGAGATTGTTTAGCTTGGAGTTATGAATATATACATCGGTGTCACCGGTCAAGGAGGAAATAATCATTTTGAAACTTGACTTGAGAAAGCATTCGACACGATTGGAGCATTGACCATCATTGAGGTTATGTCACATATGGGCTTCCCAGAAATGGCTAGCTTGGATCCAAGCAATTCTATCTTCTGGTTCTTCTGCGCAGTCTTGCTTAATGGGTCCCGGAAAATTTTTCAAATGTAAAAGGGAGTTCGACAAGGGGATCCACTATCCCTCTCTTATTTGTTCTTGCAAATTTGAACTACTACAAATTCTTGTCAACCAAGCAATGGAGATAGGCTTGCTCAGATTGCCAATACCTCATTCGATGAGTGAGTTTCCCATTGTCCAATATATGTCGATGACACATTGATGCTTCTCAAGTCGATGCTAGGCGGTTGTTCTTCTTAAAATCACTCCTGCATGACTTCTCCATTTATTTGGACTCTGGTGAACTACTGAAAATCACACATGTACTCCATCAATATCTCACAGGACAAACTAGCTACGCTTGCCAACACATTTGGTCGTGATGTTGGCTCAATGCCATTTACATACACAGGGGACCGCCAATGGGTACAACAAAGCCACGTATGGAAGACCTTACCCCAATGATGGGATGAGTTGAAAGAAGATTATCGGCATGCTCCACACAGGTTGTCATACTCCGGCGACTTGAAATGGTAAATTCAGCCATCACCCCTATCACCACCTATGCCATGTGCACCATCAAGCTCCCAAAAGGTGTGATCGACAACATTGACATGAGCCAGGAAGCAATGCCTCGGGCGTGGAAATGATGAGAGAGAAGAAAGGAGGAAATTTAGTTGCTTGGCGGTGGTCATGAGACCCAAAGAAAAGGGGGATTAGGTGTCACGAACCTCCGCCTCTGTGAGCGATGCGTTGCTCCTAAAACACCTAAGCAAATTCTACAATAAAGAGACATACCACAGGTGCAGATTATGCAGTACAAGTACTACACTTCTAAAGTACCTCATCTTTGAGAGAAATTGGCTCTTTTGGTGGAAGGATGTCCTTGGCTCAACACTATCTTTTAGGCAAATTTCCGGTGTGAGTTGGGCAATGGTTCCTCGATGCGCTTGCTTCGGGATGATCTTTGGGCAGATTCAATTCTATCCCAAATGTATCCACGCCTTGCTTCGTTTGCGGGAATGATGATGCCTCTGTCATGGAAATTATGCAAGTGAAGACCTTGATAGTATTTTTTTTCTGCCTCACATCAAGACAAGCTCTTGAGAGCTAGAAGATCTCGAGCTCAATTCTGGGTGCTGCCATATAATGAAGAGGCTAAGGACATTTGGGTGCCTGCATGGGGGCTAGGTACACATCAAGGCGCTTTTACTCTCATGTCTTTGATAACATGGAGTCACACCCAATCTTCAAGGCGCGGTGGAAATCCCGATGCACTCCACGTGTCAAGTTTTTTGCTTGGCTCATCTTGGTTGATCGTCCCGAACACCAAGTCGATCTTTGCGTCGTGAGACATCTAAATATTCTGGATGACACTCTACGCATCATGTGTGACGGTGGAGGTGAGGAGACCATCGATCATCTATTTTTGAGTGCTCTTTTGCCCGGGAATCTTTGGGCAGCTATCCACCGAATGGGATGATTTATTGCGACTTAATGACAGATTGACTCAAGCAAGAACGACTAATAACCTTCCCTTCTTCACGGAGGCGGCGTTGATAGCGGCATGGGAATTGTGGAAGCTTCGTAATGATAAAGTTTTTCAAAGAAGGAATCTGAGTCTTAGTTTATGGTTAGCTAATTTCAAGAGTCAATGTCTTCTCAGGATCTATTAGATGTAAGGAGGACCTTAGGTCATCCTTCTGCGTTGGCTTCTTTGCTTTCGATTAGAAACTTGTTGTAAGTATGTATACTCTCTTTTAATCTAATTTAAAAAGGTGGGTACTGTGGGGATCCCCCACAGTCTTTTTCGGTCAAAAAACATATAAAAACACACTAGGTGGATGTCTCATAGTTACTTGTTTGTTTCTCTATATTCACCTTACTAGCATGTCTTCATTTTGAAACTTGGTAATATATTGTACTTTGTATCTAGTCTTGAGTTATTTTAGTATTTAGTCCTTAATGGCTGTAGAAGAGCCTTTTATTTCTGAAAAGTTTTATATGTTTTTTTACATGTCAAATGTAGATGCCTGTTAAATATGGGAAAATCAAGCCTCTAGCTAAGCAACATGTCAAAAGAGGTCCAAGTGGAAATACTAGAGGCCGTAAACCAGAGGTGCATACATGCACATATCCTACTAGCCATTGGCCCCGTTCGGCTTGTTGAAACTTGGTTGAAATTGGCTGGAAAACACTGTTCTGGTTGAATTGTTGTGAGAGAAAAACACTGTTCCGGCTGAAAAAAGAAGCCGAACAAGCTGGTTTCTGGCTGAATTGTTTGTTTTATCAGTTTCGCAACTTGATACTGTCCTCATGTGCATGGAAATGCTAGGTAAATTATCTAAATTTGTTTTTTTCATCTTTTGAACGCAGAATCGTAACAACCAACAGAATGGAGGCTACCAGGAAGCAAAACGGCCATCAAAACGACCTGATCTGAAGGCACTAACAAAGGCATGTTCCTATGAATGATGTTTTTCAGAATTAATTTTATTCATCTGTATTCTGTTGATTAATGATATTCCTAAAAATAAAAACAGATGCAAAAAGATGGTGCCGTACTTTATCAAGATAAAAGGATAGGGCATCTTCCTGGTTAGTATATCTTTCATTTTCAAATAAGAAATACATTATTACAGAAAAATGATGTAGTTTTTTTGCTTGTGTTGGTACTTGCCTTGTACCAATTAATTATACAAGGTAAAGGTTATAACTGTCTCCATTCTTATTAGGGACTGAAGT